GTGTCATTAATGTAGTTTATTTTGTAGTTGTTTGTAGGCTAGCTAGGGTAAATTGTAGATTAAGGTATTATTTTTTTACCTTTGTATGCTGCTACATTTACCTTCATACTAACTACAATTGATCTACATTTTGTGAGTTACTTGAACTAACTGTTATATTTTTGTAGTTATAGAGCTGTGGTTACCCTTTTCTTCCTTATTGTTTTGAGATAATGTTTACATGTGTAGATGTCCTGCATTGTTTTGTAGTTATAGGTGTGGGTAGGATGTTCTTCTTTTAGTTATATTTTGTAGTTATCATGTAGTTATATGTAGATTACTGCTTCTTTTTTATGCAAACTACTAATGTTCAATAATTTTTTATTTTCTGCAGAATGGCCATTACTTTGCACCACAAAATATTGATTATGGTGTGCTTAGATTCCACAGTTTGTGTGATCCGAGCATACCTAGCCAGATAAAAGCTTTACTCTCTCCAAATGCTTTAAAGCTTTTCCAAAAAACTTGTTTTGGTTACTTATTTGGTCTCCCCACAATCTGTATGCAAAACCAAGCAATTCATCTTCTAATGAAGTATGAATTGTCAAAGTCTACTGACTCATATTTTTCAGTACTATTGAAGGGTGAAAAATTGAATTTTTCCTTGAGAGAATTTGGGTTGATTACTAGTCTAAATTGTGTGAATAAGTTAGCCATTTAATGACTACCTATTTTCCGAACAAACAAAGAGTTGAAAAGTGGCATTTGAAAAATGTAGTCACAAATAAAGTTTGGGCAAACGATGAGGATGCAGTGAGGTTGTGCATTCTTTATCTGTTGGAATTTTTTGTTTGTCCTTCTGATAAAGACCATGTGTCTTTCATAGACAAGTTTATGTTCTTTCTGATAGAGTCTGGTAATTTTGAGTCATACCCATGGGGTACCAAATCCTTCAAGCAGGTTATTGAATCTGTCCGACATCGTCTTAATCCCCATGTACATTCTTATCTGATACGGGGATGCTCATTAGCCTTGCAAGTGTGGCTATATGAGTGTTGCTCGTCCGTCAGCACGGAGCTTGCTACGAGGTGTTCTGAATCTATACCTCGCATTTTAAGATGGTCAGCTACAAAGGGCCAGATTTGGTTAACTGCAATTGAAGAGAAGATGATCAAGCCTGAGTGGCTTAAGGTATATTATTTCACTTTTGTATGATGCTACATTTACCTTCATAATAACTACAATTAATCTACATTTTTTTATTTACTTGAACTAACTGTTATTTCCATCATTCAGTTCACAAACATGACTGAATCTGGAGAAGAGATTGGAGTGCTTAATCTGCCAGACAAGATTCAGTATGAAGATGAACATGGTGCTCAATCATCACAGGTTCCAATTGATGCTTCTCCAACATTTGAACCAAAAGATACAGATTGTCAAGAGGACATTGAATCTGTGACTAGCAAGCTCAGGAAGTTGGAAAAGGGGATTGAGCAGGTAATATAAATAACTACAATATATTGACATTTTTTGCTACAATTTAACTTCATTCCATAACAATTATTGTATGTTATACATTGTAGTTAATTTGTGGTATAATTCTATATTGAGCCCTGTTGGTATTGCACAAATCTTTGTTAAATTGTTGTGGAACCGTAGCACTTTGAATAAGATTAACAACTAATTATATATTTAATTTTTAGGTTGATGGAAAGTTAGTTGAATTTAGTAAGGCTGTTTTTGAGGAACTCTCAAGCCTTCGAGAGTTCATAGATGTTTCTGTGAAGAGTGTTATGAAGGTGATAAACAGGAAGTACGATGTAACGACCCGGCCGGTCGTTTTTGGAATTTACGCCCCGATCCCCCCTTAACTGCTTCCCCTAAGTTCATTTCTGCTATTTTGGTTTGCCGGGACGTTCGGTGTTCGGATTCGGAGTGTTTTGGGACACTTAGTCACTAAATGAGAGCTTAAGTGTTGAAAAATGGTCCAAAGTCGAAACAGTGTGAAGACGACCACGGAATAGAAATCCGATGGTTCCGTTAGCTCCGTTAGGTGATTTCGGGGTTGGGAGCCCGTTCGGAATGTATTTTGGACGTCCGTAGCTCATTTAAGCTTGAAATGCCGAAGTTTGTATTTTTGAAGCTTCCAACCCGATAGTGAGTTTTTGATCCGAGGGTCGGAATGGGATTTCGGAAGTTGCAGTAGTTCCGTCATGTCATTTGGGATGTGTGTGCAAAATTTCAGGTCATTCGGATGAAGTTCGGGTAGGTTTTTGATCGAAAGCGTATTTTGTTGGAAATTGAAGTTCTTAGGCTTAAATCTTTGATTAATTCGGGTTTCCAGCGTTGTTTAGGTGGTTTAAGGATTGGTACAAGTTTGAATAAGGTATTAGGTGTGATTGGTGCTTTTGGTTGAGGTCCCGGGGGCCTCGGGATGATTTTAGGTGGTTAACGGAAGAATTTTTGAAGTGTTGCAGCAACTGGTTTTTTCTCTCTTCTGGTATTTTCGCTTCTGCGGCTTGGGAACCGCGGAAGCGGAGCTGCATAAGCGGCCATCGCATCGCAGGAGCGGAATTTGGGCTCCCTTCAGTTTCCGCAGGTGCGGAAGTTTGACCGCAGAAGCGGTTACGCACCTGCGAGGTATAAGTCGCAAATGCGGCCCTGGGTCATTGGTGATAAACCGCAGAAGCGGTAAGTATTTCGCAGAAGCGGCCACCGCATGTGCGGTTTAAGACCGCAGAAGCGGAACCCCTGGATTTTAGTTAATAGCCGCAGAAGCAGCATTTGTTCCGCATAAGCGGGACCGCAGATGCGGTCCCTTGTCCGCAGATGCGGAAATCCCTGGGCAGAAATAGAAATTTCGAGGGTTTGAGTTCATAAGTTACAAAAAAATCAATTGAGAGCTCGGGTAAGGGCGATTTTTAGTGGGTTTTGAAGAGAAGACTATTAGGTAACGTTTCCTTAATCCCTTCTAGTTATATTTCATCATTATATAGTTAAATGTATCATTGGAATTCGAATTTAGGATCAAAAACTTGGATAATTGG